GGATAGAATAGCAGTGTATTTGTATAAGTGTTGTGACAGTGATTGATAGGTTGGTTGTGGTAGTTTGGGTGGTTGTTGACTGTTGATGGATATGCACTGTTGTCCTCTGTTAAAAGGCGCCTGGATGAATTACAGTCGCTGGGCGTAAGAGCCAGAGGTAGATTGAAATAGTTGGTGATGCAGTCACTCACTACTGTGAATGTTTGTGTGCATCACCAGACATAATTGTGTTTGGTGAATTGACGCTTTTGCTGATGACGATAATGGCGACGACGACGATTTGATAGTGTTGTTGTGTGGATAGTGTGAATGGTGGAGGAGTGTTGGTGTAGTGTGTGGTGTGTGTTTTTGGAGTGTAGTTGAGTGTGAGTCGGAGTCGGAGTAATTGATGAAGTGAAGTGAAGTGAAGTGAAGCTGTAGATGTTGTGTGGTGTGGTGTTATGTGATATGATGTGTTTGTAGTGGTTCGATATGTATGAGTTTGTTTTGAGTTTGTTAGGCTTGTTTGGTGTGTGTAGTTTGGTTTGCGTGGAAGTGTGTGTGTAGGGAGTGTGTTTGGCCGTAAATGTGATTGATTGGTGAATGTGATGTTGTTGTATTTGGTGGTGATGATATTGTGTGTGTGTGTGTGAGAGAGAGAGAGAGTGAACTAGGTGTTTAGTGGAAGTGTCGGGCGTGATGTTGTTTGTTTTGGTGTAGTGTTGTGATGATAGAGATTGAGTGATGCAAGCTACATGTCGGCATACACATAAAGTGCCGTTGCATTCTAAGGAACCACTGATGCGAATGTGTAATGATGACGGTGTGTGTGTGTGTGTGTGTAAGAGAGAGAGAGAGAGAGAGAGAGAGTGATAGAGAGAATAGATAATTGATGATGGGAATAGTAATTATTTTTGTTTATTTGTTTGTCTATTTCAGGTTGGTGGTTGGTAGAGACGCAGAGTGCAGTGTTGGATGTGTGAAGTGCAGACAGGAGGTGAGTATGTTTATTGCTGCTGATGGTGGAATTGGTAGTGCTGTGAAGTGTAGTGTAGTGTAGTGTTGTGTTGTGTTGTGTTGTATTGAATAATAATAGTGCTGATAATTGATATGGTGTATGTGACGATGAATGATGACTTTATCATAGGGACATCTGTAAACCACTTGATGATCCTTGGGTTTTATGGTCTGAGAGTAATGTGTATTTGTTGGATGTATTGGTATTTGGTGGATTGTTGTAGTGGTAGTGTTAGTGGTAGTATTGATGCGAATGAATTTGTTTTGTGTGTTTCAGGTATGTGGATGGATTGCGCAAGTGAGTGAAGCGTTGTTAGTGAGTTTGAGGTGAGTTGTTTGAATTTTGTGTATATATATATATATATATATATATATATTTAAATGGAATAGTGATGGTAATGTGCGTCGGTGTATGAGTGAGTGAATAAGAGGGTATTTGTAGTGTGCACATTGTTGTTGTATGAGAGAGTGAGTGATTGATTGATAGAATAGCAGTGTATTTGTATAAGTGTTGTGACAGTGATTGATAGGTTGGTTGTGGTAGTTTGGGTGGTTGTTGACTGTTGATGGATATGCACTGTTGTCCTCTGTTAAAAGGCGCCTGGATGAATTACAGTCGCTGGGCGTAAGAGCCAGAGGTAGATTGAAATAGTTGGTGATGCAGTCACTCACTACTGTGAATGTTTGTGTGCATCACCAGACATAATTGTGTTTGGTGAATTGACGCTTTTGCTGATGACGATAATGGCGACGACGACGATTTGATAGTGTTGTTGTGTGGATAGTGTGAATGGTGGAGGAGTGTTGGTGTAGTGTGTGGTGTGTGTTTTTGGAGTGTAGTTGAGTGTGAGTCGGAGTCGGAGTAATTGATGAAGTGAAGTGAAGTGAAGTGAAGTGAAGCTGTAGATGTTGTGTGGTGTGGTGTTATGTGATATGATGTGTTTGTAGTGGTTCGATATGTATGAGTTTGTTTTGAGTTTGTTAGGCTTGTTTGGTGTGTGTAGTTTGGTTTGCGTGGAAGTGTGTGTGTAGGGAGTGTGTTTGGCCGTAAATGTGATTGATTGGTGAATGTGATGTTGTTGTATTTGGTGGTGATGATATTGTGTGTGTGTGTGTGTGTGAGAGAGAGAGAGTGAACTAGGTGTTTAGTGGAAGTGTCGGGCGTGATGTTGTTTGTTTTGGTGTAGTGTTGTGATGATAGAGATTGAGTGATGCAAGCTACATGTCGGCATACACATAAAGTGCCGTTGCATTCTAAGGAACCACTGATGCGAATGTGTAATGATGACGGTGTTGTGTGTGTGTGTGTGTAAGAGAGAGAGAGAGAGTGATAGAGAGAATAGATAATTGATGATGGGAATAGTAATTATTTTTGTTTATTTGTTTGTCTATTTCAGGTTGGTGGTTGGTAGAGACGCAGAGTGCAGTGTTGGATGTGTGAAGTGCAGACAGGAGGTGAGTATGTTTATTGCTGCTGATGGTGGAATTGGTAGTGCTGTGAAGTGTAGTGTAGTGTAGTGTTGTGTTGTGTTGTGTTGTATTGAATAATAATAGTGCTGATAATTGATATGGTGTATGTGACGATGAATGATGACTTTATCATAGGGACATCTGTAAACCACTTGATGATCCTTGGGTTTTATGGTCTGAGAGTAATGTGTATTTGTTGGATGTATTGGTATTTGGTGGATTGTTGTAGTGGTAGTGTTAGTGGTAGTATTGATGCGAATGAATTTGTTTTGTGTGTTTCAGGTATGTGGATGGATTGCGCAAGTGAGTGAAGCGTTGTTAGTGAGTTTGAGGTGAGTTGTTTGAATTTTGTGTATATACATATATATATATATAAGTTTAAATGGAATAGTGATGGTAATGTGCGTCGGTGTATGAGTGAGTGAATAAGAGGGTATTTGTAGTGTGCACATTGTTGTTGTATGAGAGAGTGAGTGATTGATTGATAGAATAGCAGTGTATTTGTATAAGTGTTGTGACAGTGATTGATAGGTTGGTTGTGGTAGTTTGGGTGGTTGTTGACTGTTGATGGATATGCACTGTTGTCCTCTGTTAAAAGGCGCCTGGATGAATTACAGTCGCTGGGCGTAAGAGCCAGAGGTAGATTGAAATAGTTGGTGATGCAGTCACTCACTACTGTGAATGTTTGTGTGCATCACCAGACATAATTGTGTTTGGTGAATTGACGCTTTTGCTGATGACGATAATGGCGACGACGACGATTTGATAGTGTTGTTGTGTGGATAGTGTGAATGGTGGAGGAGTGTTGGTGTAGTGTGTGGTGTGTGTTTTTGGAGTGTAGTTGAGTGTGAGTCGGAGTCGGAGTAATTGATGAAGTGAAGTGAAGTGAAGTGAAGCTGTAGATGTTGTGTGGTGTGGTGTTATGTGATATGATGTGTTTGTAGTGGTTCGATATGTATGAGTTTGTTTTGAGTTTGTTAGGCTTGTTTGGTGTGTGTAGTTTGGTTTGCGTGGAAGTGTGTGTGTAGGGAGTGTGTTTGGCCGTAAATGTGATTGATTGGTGAATGTGATGTTGTTGTATTTGGTGGTGATGATATTGTGTGTGTGTGTGTGTGAGAGAGAGAGAGTGAACTAGGTGTTTAGTGGAAGTGTCGGGCGTGATGTTGTTTGTTTTGGTGTAGTGTTGTGATGATAGAGATTGAGTGATGCAAGCTACATGTCGGCATACACATAAAGTGCCGTTGCATTCTAAGGAACCACTGATGCGAATGTGTAATGATGACGGTGTTGTGTGTGTGTGTAAGAGAGAGATAGAGAGAGTGATAGATAGAGAGAATAGATAATTGATGATGGGAATAGTAATTATTTTTGTTTATTTGTTTGTCTATTTCAGGTTGGTGGTTGGTAGAGACGCAGAGTGCAGTGTTGGATGTGTGAAGTGCAGACAGGAGGTGAGTATGTTTATTGCTGCTGATGGTGGAATTGGTAGTGCTGTGAAGTGTAGTGTAGTGTAGTGTTGTGTTGTATTGAATAATAATAGTGCTGATAATTGATATGGTGTATGTGACGATGAATGATGACTTTATCATAGGGACATCTGTAAACCACTTGATGATCCTTGGGTTTTATGGTCTGAGAGTAATGTGTATTTGTTGGATGTATTGGTATTTGGTGGATTGTTGTAGTGGTAGTGTTAGTGGTAGTATTGATGCGAATGAATTTGTTTTGTGTGTTTCAGGTATGTGGATGGATTGCGCAAGTGAGTGAAGCGTTGTTAGTGAGTTTGAGGTGAGTTGTTTGAATTTTGTGTATATATATATATATATATATATATATTTAAATGGAATAGTGATGGTAATGTGCGTCGGTGTATGAGTGAGTGAATAAGAGGGTATTTGTAGTGTGCACATTGTTGTTGTATGAGAGAGTGAGTGATTGATTGATAGAATAGCAGTGTATTTGTATAAGTGTTGTGACAGTGATTGATAGGTTGGTTGTGGTAGTTTGGGTGGTTGTTGACTGTTGATGGATATGCACTGTTGTCCTCTGTTAAAAGGCGCCTGGATGAATTACAGTCGCTGGGCGTGGCGAAAGCGATGGAAAGGGCAGAGGCGATCGGCAACAGTAGACAACTTTTCCGACTTATGAAGGAAACTGATATAAGGAATCCTATTGTAAGTGAGACTATCTCAGAAAATGATCGGACCATTATTTATTCTCAATCCAGGAGGCTGGATTGATGGGCAGAACACTTTAGGGATCAGTTCAACTGGCCTCGAGCCACTCTTCGGTTACCCACGATCTCCAGTCATCCTGAATGGCAAATCGACCTGTCCCCCTAGTCTTAATGAAGTTGAGAAAGCGTTAGGAAATCTGAAGCGAGGACGAGCTGCGGGTCCTGATAGAGTGACCCCTGAGATATTTAAGGATGGTGGTTCAGCTTTAGCAGCTAGGTTGACCGAGATCTTAGGTAGAATCTGGGAACTGGACACAATCCCACTCGGTTGGACTCAATCACTGATTGTCCCAATCTATAAGAAAGGACAGAAGTCTTCTTGTGACAATCACAGGGGAATAAGTCTAACTAATATAGTATCTAAAATATTGGCCTCAGTAATACTTCGACGCTTAACGAAAGCTCGTGAAGAGCAGACTCGAGAAAACCAATCTGGTTTTCGACCTGGACGTGGCTGTATAGACCACGTCTTCACACTACGACAGGTCCTGGAACACAGACACACATTTAGGCGTCCTACAATAGTTGTTTTCCTGGACCTAAAGGCGGCATTCGATTCTGTGGATCGTGAGATTCTGTGGAAGTATCTGTCATTAAAAGGTGTACCAAAGAACTACATTAACATTATACAAGCGCTCTACTCGAACACCACTAGTTGAGTGAGAGATTATGGCGAACTGTCACAGGAATTCTTTACAACAAGTGGTGTCCGTCAGGGACAAACAAATAAACAAAAACAATCACTATTCTCATCACCCATTTCCTATTCTCTCGATCACTATCTCTCTCTCTCTCTCTTACACACACACACACAACACCGTCATCATTACACATTCACATCAGTGATTCCTTAGAATGCAACGGCACTTTATGTGTATGCCGACATGTGGATTGCATCACTCAATCTCACCATCATCACACTACAAAAAACAAACAGACTCACTCCCGTCTAGTCTACCATACACCTCACTCACACACACACACAATGTTTTCAGCAACAAATACACCCACATCACATTCAACAATCAATCACATATACGTGCAAACACAATGCCTACACACGCACTTGCACGCAAACTAAACTACACTCTATTCATAAATATAGAAACTTGGTGTTTTAAAATAAAATCTACGCCCAATATCATTTCCCAGGTTAATGTAGGGCAAACTAAAAACTCATGACGAAACGAACACTTCCCCAATGTTAAGTCTAGTGCTGTCTTATAAAACACTTTAAAGGATTTCCCACCGGCTGTCGTTAACGCTGACGAGCATCGATTTTGCTGGGCCTTATGGTTCAGTCTCTTTAGGAACTCCTCCTTGATGAGGGATACGGACGCTCCAGTATCTAAAAGTATTTCAGTCAGTACTCCTTGCACTATACCTTTTAGGGTGGTAGGGCCGATTTGATTAACATGACAAGAAGATAAATAGTAACGGCATGGCTCAGCTGGATTACGGGATCGATTGTGTCCGCATCTCCGAGCGTTTCTTCCAAACCTCCTGCAATAGACACATTCAGTCTGACGTCCGTGATAGTTGTTGTATGGTGGTCGTCTGTTCCAAGTCCAGTTCGACCCCCCCACGATTAATACACCTTTCAAGCCGACGTATTGAGTGATGCAAGCTACATGTCGGCATACACATAAAGTGCCGTTGCATTCGAAGGAATCACTGATGTGAATGTGTAATGATGACGGTGTTGTGTGTGTGTGTGTAAGAGAGAGAGAGAGAAATAGTGATCGAGAGAATAGGAAATGGGTGATGAGAATAGTGATTGTTTTTGTTTATTTGTTTGTCCCTGACGGACACCACTTGTTGTAAAGAATTCCTGTGACAGTTCGCCATAATCTCTCACTCAACTAGTGGTGTTCGAGTAGAGCGCTTGTATAATGTTAATGTAGTTCTTTGGTACACCTTTTAATGACAGATACTTCCACAGAATCTCACGATCCACAGAGTCAAATGCCGCCTTAAGGTCCAGGAAAACAACTATTGTAGGACGCCTAAATGTGTGTCTGTGTTCCAGGATCTGTCGTAGTGTGAAGACGTGGTCTATACAGCCACGTCCAGGTCGAAAACCAGATTGGTTTTCTCGAGTCTGCTCTTCACGAGCTTTCGTTAAGCGTCGAAGTATTACTGAGGCCAATATTTTAGATACTATATTAGTTAGACTTATTCCTGTGATTGTCACAAGAAGACTTTTGTCCTTTCTCATAGATTGGGACAGTCAGTGATTGAGTCCAACCGAGTGGGATTGTGTCCAGTTCCCAGATTCTACCTAAGATCTCGGTCAACCTAGCTGCTAAAACTGAACCCCCATCCTTAAATATCTCAGCGCTCAGCCTATCAGGACCCGCAGCTCGTCCTCGCTTCAGATTTCCTAACGCTTTCTCAACTTCATTAAGACTAGGGGGACTTAGGTCGATTTGCCATTCAGGATGACTGGAGATCGTGGGTAACCGAAGAGTGGCTCGAGGCCAGTTGAACTGATCCTTAAAGTGTTCTGCCCATCGATCCAGTCTCCTGGATTGAGAATAAATAATGGTCCCATCATTTTCCGAGATAGTCTCACTTACAGTAGGATTCCTTATACCAGTTTCCTTGAAAATTCGGAAAAGTTGTCTACTGTTGCCGATCGCCTCTGCCCTTTCCATCAAAAAAGCTTTCGCCACCCACCACTGTTCACGGTCGTTGCGCAGGCTTTTTATCAGCCTGCGCCTAAGCTGACTTCTTTCACCATCATGTTCAATGTCAGGTGGGATTAGTCTCTTAGCGTCCATCAGTTCATTGGATGCGACTTAAATTCACGGCTTCATTCTACCCTTATCATCAACCTTACTAGCATCTATCGCGGCTGTCGCCACATCCTTCTTGATACCATTCCAACCTGCCTCCGGATGGGAATCGCTTACATGGTCGCCTAACAGTCTTTCTAGTTCCTCCTGAAATATTTTCCGCCTTATTATCAATAAGTAAAGCCCTAAGAGGCTTCCTTACGGTGTCTTTCCTACGTCCACTAAGCCTCAAACAAATACGAGCTCGCACCAGGGCATGATCTGAATCTAAACATGTGCCCCAGAACGAGCGACAGTTTTTTATCGAGACCCTCCATTGCTGTCTGATAGCGATGTGATCTGGTTGCGTCCAATGTTGAGACGACTTCGCAGGTTGCCAGGTCAACAGATGCTTTTCCTTATGCCTAAAGTTAGTGTTTGCTAGAAATAGGCAGTTATCTGGGCATACTTGCAACAGACGGTCGCCATTGTCTGTTCTCTGAGCCGCGACACAATAACATCCACCTAGGTGTCTTTCCTGCTCACTTAGTCTACCTACTTGAGCATTGGAGTCACCAGCCATTATTACTACATCAGAGTGCCTATCTTTTTGGAGGAGGTCCGAAAGCTTTCTGTAAAACTCATCTTTCACCTCGTCTGAACTGCAGTCAGTGGGGGCATATGCAAATACGACGAAGGGGCAACGACAAGTGTCCCTGTCTTCCCGAGCCCTTACTGTCCTGTTTAGTCGGACAGCGCAGAAACGACTATCTCCAGGAATCCAGTCTAGGAGAGTTAGTTCTGTCCTACGACTCAATGCTATACTTACGCCAGCGAGACCCCGGGAAGCAGCTTCAGGGTTTCCTGATACACGAAGGGTAAATCGGGCTGCTTCTTTGTTTTGACAAAGTGAAATCAGATTAATGACTACTAGGATCCTGTATGCGCGGTTCCGAGACAAAGTATACATCGATGGCGCGAGATTCTAAAGTCCTAGCTAATGATACCTGTTGCCCTATTTGACACAATGTCCGTACATTCAATGCTCCAACATATAGTCTAGAACGAGGTTTCAGGAGACCAGGAATGATGTATCGTGAACTCGCATCGTTTGCATTAGCGGTGCAGTGAGATAAAAGAATGTGAGTAGAGTTAGTCGTGAAGATAAGAGAGTTACTAGGGGGTGAAGGGGGGATTTGATTTTGACCAATTTGGCTTCGTGTGCTAAAAAAGGTATAAGGGCGGTTGTCACTTCTCGTCTGCCCATACCGTGGAAGGTTGTTTCTTGAGGGACCTGAAAAGGAAGATAGTTTGGCGTTGGTCTTAGAGACTTGGGAGCGTGACCGCAAAGTTCAAGGGACAAATGACTGCTTGATGCCGGTCACTCACGGTCTTTTCATGAAATGTTTTTTGAGGACTAGCTCCGCTCTTGAAAGCCCTCAGTGGTCACCCTTACCCAAGGAGACGTGAGGTGTGACATTTTTAGGGTCGACCTTTTCTAACCCTTCCTTTTCTCGTGAGAAGGCAGCATTGCTGCTGATGCTGGTTGTCTGAGGGAAACACCCTACTGCTGTCACACCTCTCTGCAGTCAGCAGTACGACTTCGTCCCCAGACCTTGAGTAGCTGCTTTTAGTATCGTCGCTCTCCAATCGACCTGCCTGGTATGGTGCGACTGAGTGATTCAGTGAGAGTGTATGTGTATTGTGCACCTTGTTTTTGTTGTTGTTGTAATGGAGAAGTGTGAGGAGAGTTGATGCAGTGAGTGATGTGAGGATGTAGGTGTGTTGTTCTTGCTGCGGAATGATGTGTATAAAGTAAGTAGTGTTTTTGTGTCTGTAGTGCGTTTGTGAATGTAAGCGAGAGGGTGAGTGAGTGAGTGGGTGATTGATCGATAGAATGGCAGTGTATTTGTATAAGTGTTGTGACAGTGATTGATAGGTTGGTAGTTTTAGTGTTGGTGGTTGTTGACTGTTGATGGATATGCAGTGTTGTCCTCTGTTAAAAGGCGCCTGGATGAATTACAGTCGCTGGGCGTAAGAGCCAGAGGTAGATTGAAATAGTTGGTGATGCAGTGACTCACTACTGTGAATGTTTGTGAGCATCAGCAGACAGTTTTGTGTGTGGTTTTGGATGATGTGTGAGATGTGTGGTGAATAGACTGACTGACCTGTCTGATGATGTTTTGTGTGTATGTGGAGTGCAGTTGAGTGTGAGTCGGAGTCGGAGTCGGAGTAATTGATGAAGTGAAGTGAGTGAGCTGTAGATGTTGTGTTGTGTGGTGTTATGTGATATGATGTGTTAGTGAGAGAGAGAGTGTGTTGATGTTTCTTTTTTGGGTAATTGTATTTGTGACGAAATGTTTTTGCGAGTTTTTGTTAGGCTTTTTGGGGTGTGTAGTTTAGGAGCATCATTAGGTGCAATATATCCATGATATCTGACCATCGAAAAAACGTTCATACACTCTTTCTTTCCTGAGTATCATGGAACCGATATGCTACATGGCTTTAGTGTCAGGGTTTTCCAGCTCCCCTAATTGGATCTTTTCCACCCACCATCAACATGTTTCAAGCTGTCACCGGGTATTTTGTCTTTTTAATTTTGTAAATATACCTGTACCACAAAAACAAGCAGCTAGTAGGACTTGCCTTGTCTCAACCTTATCTCACCCCCATACTACACTAATCCTAAAGTGTGTCTACCTTATAAAATTCTCTATTTACTTATTCAGTGGACAGTGTATTACGTTGAATTATATATCTTTTGAATTACACATAAACAGCTTTTGAAAAAAAGACAAAAGGTTGTTTAATTTATTCTGGGTTATATATAATATAAGTTACAATTTTTTTACAATAATAAAAAGAATTGTAGAATATAAGAAGATTCTTTTTCACAAATTCCTGTTGAACACATTCAATTCCATTGAACGAACCATTCTCGAGCATACAGGTCAAACAACAACAACAACAAGAAAAACTGAACGCAACTAATTCAATGTTCAATTATTTTGATCAACTAAAAAAAACAGGCAACACAACTTCAAACAATCAAACCTGAACGCAACAAAAAATTCAATGTTCAATAATTTGATTTAAAAAAAGAAGGGCTTTCAATAAAAATTAAATAATGATTCTAATTTGCATGAATGAATAAATTAAAACAAACTCATCAATAATAATTATAAAATATCTAAATTTAAAAAAAAAAGAGAAAATCACTGACGAGCGAGTAAAAACAAGCAAAAATTAAGTGGAAATATTATTTATTCCCTAGAAATTAGTTGTTAAACTTGGGCGTTTCAAAAAAAGCAACCACTATGTATGTATTGGTGTGTGTGTGTGTGAGTGCATGAAACAAAACAAAAGTAGCAGTACAAATCAAGTAACGAAATATGTACTACTACTTGCTGTATATTATTTATGCAAGAAACTACTCAACGAAAGAAACCGAATAGCACCGAGTGTGTGTGTGTGCTGGTGTCCACAATTCATGAATTCACATTGTTTAACATAAAAATGACACTTGACTACTTACTCTTTGTTCAATAGTCAATAGTGTAGGGCAAGCAATATGCATACACCAAAGTAAATAATGATAAAATCCTAATCAAATTTTGTTATTGTTAGAACGAAAACAAAAAAAAACATGGCGACCGAAACAGAAAAACAAACAAACCAACCAATAGAAATACAACTAACTATTCATTGAATAAACATTTTAAAATTCGTCAATATAACAAAAGACATATTATATATATATATTGCATAACAACATCTCTCTCCTTACAAACAATGATTAACCGGAGATGAGAAGAATATGGATTGCTGTTTGAAGAGTTCACAGTTCCATTTGTCTCTACCGAAACTTGTAATCATCGAAGCCGAGAAGGTATCATCACTTCTCTCTCTGTCTCAACTACATTTCACAAATCAAACAACGAAATATATATTAGAGTAAGCATAGAAATCATTTCAATAACGTAATATAACGGGTATATATATATAATATATATATCTGAGAGAAAGAAAGCAAGTGAGGAAAAACAGCTTATCATCTCATTCAACAAGGAAAGAACACAAATAAGTAACATTCAAACAATAACAACAAAAACGAAATGCACTACCCTCTCCCCTTTTATTATCAATCATGATAACTTGGCGGTGGTTGTTCTGTGTCATTGTTCATCATCATTGTCGACATCGTCATGGTCATTGAACGTGGTATAGTGGATAGAGTATAATCATGCATATTATCTAATGTATTATTACTATTATTATTATTATTATCAGTAGTATTGATATCCTGTACAAAATATTTATCTAATGCATTAACTGATGTAGCCATTTCTAATCGTGTTGCTTCAGCATCTTCTTCGGATAAACTATTCAACATATTACTAGTACTACGATGATCATGATGATCAATGTGTTGTTGATCATTCGATTCAGATGATGGTAATAAAATTAATTGATTATTTTCATTGAATGATAAAATTAACGATTGACGTAATTCATGATGCTTGGATTGTTTATGATGATCGCGGTGATGATCATTGTTTAATTGAGATGAATGACAACGATAGATAATATTCTCTTCATCTAATAGATTATCATTGATATTGATTGAATTTCGATTATGGTGATTAGGATGATTATTTGTGTTATTGGATAGAAGACTAACATTGGAAGAAATGTTAGCACGTTTTAATGCTGAACATTTGATTGGACTTATTCGATGCTGTTGATGCATCATAGGACAACTAGTAGTTGGTGGATAATGGCTATAAGCATAATAACGACAACATGATGATGATATTGATGTTATTGGTGTAGTACTGCGTTGTTTATAAAAATTCCAATTACGTAATAATTGTAAAGCTGCTGTAGTTGTTGTGGATATATTGGAATTGTCACTGATTTGTCGATTGATTGACTAAGGGCGTGAGGGGTGGGGTAGGTGTAAAAGGAGGAGAAGAATATTGTGAATAAGTTAATCAATAATAAATGAACTTGTAAGCACTGCATGGCAGCAGCGCGTATCTATGATTCCTGCTACTAGCAGGACTCGAACATAGGACCTTAAATCTTGCGTACGAACGTCTAACCTCCGGATAAGTAGGCTGACGGTATCAAACGGTGTTAATGTCTGGCTCTGATCATTTAAGGGATTTTGCGCGACATCACCCATTGGATTCGGTACCTACTGCCTACACCCGACAGGGTTGAAATGCACTGGTCACATCTCACGAAGCTAGTCACTGGTGAACACATCCTTAGCCCTGAGGGTTCCCAGTTATTGTCTGTCAAGTTTGATTTGATTTTTATAATTAGTCACAAATGTTTTTACTTTGATACGCGTAAAAACAATCTTCTGTAAAGACACGGATTATGAGAAAGAACTGGCAAAATATCTCTATTTAGGATATAATGGCTAGATAATTTGCGAAATACAAATGGTCTCACTATATCTAAGCTATCAGTTGTGATTTCACTGAAACATTGAGCTTTTTACATACCAAATAAACATTACAAGAAACCGAAAAAGCCAGGGTCAAAACAGTTTAGTCTGATGCTAGTCTTCATTTATAAATCAAGTCTACTTGTGTTGTAGATCAGTTACTTCAGATAACTTTTAAATGTCCTTTCGTGTTGGAACTCGGAACACATAAACACTGGTACAAAGAGGATACCTAAATATGTAAACGCCACAAAAATCAGTGAATTGATGGATGGGGTGAGATACTGTTCGGGTGACCAAACCCTAGTAGGCGGTTTATCTAAAAGGACAAGTTGAAAAGCCTTTCACATAGAACTCTAATTCACAAAACAGTAGATCAACCTTAATAGACATGAACCCTCTGAATCATGGAACCTATATGCATCATTGTATCGAAAATAGGATTCGCCGAATGCTATATGTGGTTCCTTCAAACTCACCAAACCGGTTTTTACAACCATCATACATCCGCTTTGTTGCGCTCGTCTCTAGGTATGCTTCAACTATTACGAGTTCACCTTAGTCGAATCACGAGAACAAAACAATGAACCAGTGTCCAGGAAGGCTACTGTGATCCCTTGACCAAAAGGTATCAGCAAAAAGTTTTGATATAGTGTAGAGATTGTATTCTACGAACACCCAGCCAGCATACAATGAATCCAAGCACTCAAATCGCGTTTGTTTATACTCTATAGAAACGTCCTTGGGACAGCCACAAAAATAGCACACAACAATAAACAGTAGCCAATCACAGCCGACGATTTTCCTGGTAGGAAATGTGATCTGAAGGTCAACGGATCGGTCCATGAAATAAATCCAAAATAATGATATTTATCAAACGAGTTCTAGGGATGTAACATCCCCAACACGCTTTTCGTTCTCTGAACTTCGTAAACAACAAGCGTGCCAAGAGAAGTCAGTGCATTTAAACATGTCATTTGATTAATATCATAACTGAAATAAACAACTATTTGTTAATTGAGAAGACAAATTCCTCTGTCTTTACCATCTAGTTCCAAATATATGAAAACTATTTTTTCCAAGGTAACATTTAACACCAAATCTAACTATATCAATTAAAACAAGTAGATATCACGAAAAAAAAACCTACACAACTTACATTCATTAAGTCATTTTTATCATCTTGAATACATAAACTAAGTTCTGTTGAATTATCATCTAAACATTGTTGATGTGTTGTTAACGATGCTGTATTGACTTGTTGCAGTTGTAGGTGTGGGTGTGGTTGTTGTTGTGAATTATGCTGTTGACTGTCAAGTTGTAGATGATTTGGTTGTTGTTGTTGTTGTTGATTCAATAAACCATGCAATGATGATGATGAAGATAAATGATTATGTAAATCAATTAATAATGAACTATTTGGCAGTACATTTAATAATTCACAATGATAATGATGACGATTTAAATAGAATTTACGACGATTTTTTTGTTCACAAAATAATCCCATATCATTATTCTTATGAGTATTATTTTTACATTTTTCATTTCGACTACTTATATTATTTTCAGTAGTTAAAGTTTTTTTATGATTAAAATGAACTTGTTTTCGTCGTGTACATATTACTGATAAACTAAAAGTAATAATGAATAAAATAGCCAGAAAAATAATAAATACAGTTAATAATAATGAACCAGCAATCCATATCATTTGTAAACCATTCTCAAATGAGAAAAATGATGTCACATATAGATTTGTACTATTATCCTGATGATTCTTTCGATTACGTCGATTTGATTGGCTCAATGAATTTGTCTCATTCAATTTGATCATTGGATAACCTTCAGTGTTAATATAAAGCTGTTGTATAGTAGTAGTATCATTATGAAACCAAATTAATTGACGTGGACATAATGATGTTAGTGATGATCGATCTTTATGTGTAAACAATGAAATATCATCAATGCATACATTGTTTGTTGTAAGGATTGTCAACAGCTGGTTAGAATGTACAACTATCCAATGATTTGATTGTTCTGTGAATATTTCATGTGGATGGGAAACACTTTCATGATACGGAGTAATGGGATCTGTACTACTGCTACTGCTAGTAAAACTACTACTACTACTACTGATAGTAGTAGTAGTAGTAGGATATATAGGCATTGAAACATTAATCCATACATGATATGGTAATAAAGTATTGTTGTTTAAATCCGATAGTTTTCGACGATGTAATGTTGACCAATTGAATATGGATATATTAGGAGCGTATGATTTATATGATATTGACAAGTTATCATGAGCATAATCTTGTTGATGATGATTACTTTTGTTAGTAGGAAATATATTTTGAATGATTTGCTTATTTGAACTAAAAGGGGAAAAAAATCAATGTTGAATAAGCTGTTGAACATTTTTTCATTTTATGTCTTGTGACCTAAATCACGATATACTGATTAAGTGTACTGGTAGTCAGTCAGCTACAACGTAGAACCCATTACATACGTACATTAGTTCAACTTGCCATACCACATTAGCACACATAGATCAAACTGTCAGTTCAAACCGCGTAGTAGTAGAGGTAGTAGTATTGTAGTGAACGAGAACACAGGTGGGGCAACCGGATTGTATTTAACGAAAATTACAGAGTTACTCAGTAAAATTGGAAAACCATATCGTAAATCGTTAATTTGCAAAATATCAGTTCATCATCATATCGAACTGGACTGTTCCTGTTGCAAAACATCAATCCATTGTCACTATTCATGCGTTTCATACAAATTCCATTGTGTTCCCACTCTTCTTCCTTTCTTGATCTTCCCCCATCTTCTGCTGCCAGACATCACGTTGACACTCACGTCATATACTACTTATAAGTAGCTCACACCACAGTATTAACAGTAATCGGAGAGATCAGCGTTCGAAGATATCATTCAAAAAGTATATCTCAAAAAAATTTTTTTAAAAATAAGAGACAGACAGAAAAAGATCATGAGAAGTTCAAAAGATTAGAATTTGAGAAAAGAAACAAAGAATAGGTGCACCAGTGCCATAGCAAACGATTTATAGTCATGTCATTCAAAGTCTTTAACCATCAGTTACTGGTAATATGAATTGAATGTACATGTGTGTCAGGTTATATGTTGCTTATTGTGTTTATTTAAACACAGAAACATTGGTACAAATAGACACTTGAATATTTATGCATCACACTAAATCAATGAATCTGTATGTAGGGTTAACTATGATATTGTCAAGTTGAGCTATCCGAGACAGTTAGTTTTCTAAAAGGCTCATTACTGAAGCCTTTGACCTAAAGATCTTATCCATAAAGCAATGGAGCAACCCAAGGAGATGCAGTCCCAATGACCGAAAATAGGTCTTTTATGTTTCCTGGGGATCCTGAAGCTCATGTGCGCCGCCGTTAGCTTGACAGCGGAGTTTTCCAATTCCTCTAGATGGATCCTACGTACCCGAAATCCCGGTTTAAGCATCAATCAGATATTCGCTTTTCATCTTATGAATTTCGCAAACATTATTTTGGCCGAGTAACGGCTATAAGTAGAACTTTCCTAGCAGTTGAGCTATACACGCGTGACCGAATGAGAGCCGACTTTTGCCACTCTCATATCTCTTCACTTAATTCAAAATGATAGTTAGTAACCTAGTAAACTGGTATCATGATTCGGTTTGTAAGCTATCAGTTCTTTTTCACGCTAAATTAACGGAGATGTATTGGGATAAGCAACTGTTTGGCTTGAGTTCCACAATGTTTAATTTTAGACACTGACGCTTCAACACCTTACTATCGTTATACCACTTAACCATGTTTTTCTCACGAATAATATGCTGTTTCACTGTAACTAGAATAAACAAATTAAACCAGATCACTCAATATTAATAGAAATGCCTAGGCTAACCGACACATGTATAACTACTAGTGAGTACTCTCATATTCAAACAAACGATTCACAATTATACCTACAATCTTGGAGGAACTAATGCTCCCAGTGAGGATCCACAATCTGTTTTCATTAGTACCGAATCAACTGACACTTTAGGCAGTCAGTCAGTCAGCAACAACGTACAATTTTGTACGTACATACTTACATCAGTTCATGTTGTCATACCACGATAGCACAGAAATACAATTGTCCATTGAAATCCGATAATAGTATATGTCGTAGAATTATGAGCAATGTTTTAGATTGGCCGCCCCTAGCTTTCTTTCAACCTACTCTCCTACACCATAAAACATAGCTCATCGAGATATTTTCATTGATTCTTTACTGAGCAGTGATCAATATCACATTTGTTTGGCACATCATTGCTAATTGAATTCTGAAAACAGTTACACATCATAACTACAACTAGTCTAAATGACTCAGTATTGTGTATGTGTGCACTTTGCTTTGTTTTTATACACTTAACTAACATAGTACTTAGGTTCCAAAGTTTTCTATTGATTACCGACAAAACAGTTTACATATAATAAATGTGATGCCTGCTGCCGAAAAGGAATAGTATTATTAAGGCAAATTTAATCAAATATTTAGTCCAAAAATTAACTCAGTTGTAGGAGTTCAAAAGTATCTCCCTCATTGAAATTTTGAGAAGTGTTACGCCTGCACGTAAACATGTCATTTTGATATGCTTGAACTATTATTACGAGTTTACCTAGTCGGAAAACGAGAACGAGGACCCGGCGATACGATATGCTACTCAAATCCGATTATCCCAACCCTTATATTCAATGAAAATAAGAAGACTTGATATGAAGTAGAACTTGTATTCTACAAACATTCAGAAAATACGAGGTCCGAGTCCAGAAAAGAATCAGGATCCCCAACTAGGGATCCGGGTCCTGGTCATAAAACGTTACAGATAATACGTATTTATACATTTTGGTCGGATAGGAAACAGCATCGAAGTCTGTGACACTGACAGTTAAGACAACCAATAGGAAGCAACATTTGAAGTGACATTGATAGTCAGGACAACCAATAAGAAATAACATTGGAGCACGTGACATTGATATCTAGGACGACCATAAAATTGACCAGTAGGAATTAACCAATAGGAATTGAGTAATAATTCTCTTAGGATGTTGGATGAATATCCTAAGAAGAAGCACAGTTAAGAAATATTTTATCCAATTAGCCCCAAGAGGTACTCAAGGTCTAAGGTCATGTTTTGGTTGGGTAATTACCTATGTTGTTACCAACTTTAGCATGTTTTCAGAAATTTCTACACAAACAAAATCACATGAAACCCGGAAGTAAATATCTCACTTTGAATTGCATTCCATTTCTCTCACTCTCTCATATTCATCCATAAACCAGTGGAACAAACAAACATTACTGTAACACTACCGACAAGTCAGCGAAAAACCACTTCTTCTTGGCCAGAGTATAACAGCAACTCTCCTGATGCTAGTTTTAGTTGTACAATGTGTTTCACTGATTTCGAGCAACTCGAGGTGGTATCTTTTCATTTCTGCAGCAATTTGGAATAGTTTTCCGCTCTTCCACATTGTTTGAACATTTCTTGTACATAAAACAATGGTTGCTCTGGTTATCAGAAGTTACATCAGCCTTGTGACTGCCAAAAGAACTCAGCTTACATCATGAGACGTCATAACTCTTCTGAATGAAGACTTTCCAAGTCTCAGGATAGAATTAAAATGGTTTGAATTATAAGAAACACTATACAGAACAAAAAATGATGTCTATCATGCGTTACGATAGCAAAGACAAGGACTGACTCTCAGCGCATTTTGACTGATTGCCATATATGAGATCATTAATGGCCATACAACAGTGGAGTTTATCCCGTCGAATATATATTTATATATGCAATACACTACACGATGAAAAGTAAAACGACTTACCCTAAGCTTAAAATAACTTTACTACCCAATAAACTATGATTATTAGGTAGAAACTTGATTTTCAATTGTAAACAAGCTATTGTATTTAAATTCGAAAAAGTATATTCATGTTTCAAGGTCATTGTGTTGTTATTATTATTATGATTATCATTCAATGGTTTCAATGAATGATAAGAACTGGAACGTTTTTGTTTCACTGTATTAATAATACTTGAAGTTGATTGTACAGTGCTCTCAGTTACAGTTGACAATTGATTCGATACATGAACTGGTGTCACATCTTCTGGTACAACAAAGTGATGTGTTTGAAAATATTTAGGCCATTCAATTGATAATTTTAGATAAGAATACTGTTGTTGATCATTATTAGTAGAAGAACATGGAAAATAATTCACAGTTGGAATATGAACAAATGGTATTGGAAAATATGAATTTGTTGATGATGTTGTCGGCGATGATGATAACATATTGCTCTAAAATTTGAAAAAAAAACACAATTAAAACAAAAGATTCTTCAACTTTGAATTGATTTCATACGTCATTACCTAAAACCAATTTTACTGAATAAAATGTCATTCATACAGAAGATTATTTAAAAATATTTCACAAAATTTCATTGAAATCATGAATTGATCATTGTTAGACTAAAAACTTGAAAGCACTGGCCAGCGGTTTCGTTGTAGTGTAATGCTTCCACATAAATTCCAGTTCGCTTACATTTAACTTGGTTAAGCCCTTACGATTAATTTATTTAACCAAGCCATTTGCGTGTAGTAGCAACAACTCATATGTACTAATGGTATTTTTTTATTATCTGGTTTGCATGAGCTGTTACGACTGAGCATTGTTTACGCCTACGCGCTTACTCATCCTTTTCGCTTTAATGTTTATCTCTTAATAGCCCCATGAACTAACATGATTTGTATCGCTTGCTATTTGACCTTGTCAATCATTCGTCGCTTTTATTCATGTGTGTGCACGCCTATTTCGCTTGTCATATGTCTGTCTTATTTTTGTCTGACTATATATTCTTAGTCATACTCAATCTCTTTGAGTTGGCTCTTTGCCTTCTCCAACGCGCTTCGCCTATCCATTCGCTTCCTTCGTTTTATTCACTGCTTCTCCGCTTCGCTTTGTGGTGTGTTCTGAATAAACGTATTCATAAATACGAGTTCATGTTCTGATTTATAAACTGAGCTTAAGAACACGCAGTAAATCGACACACCACAGTAGTATGAGGCTACTACTCATCATTAGTGCACATCCACGGATCCCTACTCATGCTAGAAACAAACGGCTGTCCAGAGCTTTCCGGTTTCTAATGGTGATTTATATTTATTGATTTATTGTTGAATAACCTAAACAGAATGAGTGACAATGGATGAACTTAACAGTGAATAGTGAGAGTATAAGCTTTAAACGAACAAATCAGATTTGAGATAGCAAGCCATGAAGATTTTTATCTGAAATCTATCCATCTATTCAATTTAGCATGAGAGCTGAAGTTAGTTCGTGATGAAAATGCTCGCAATTCCAATTGCTCATATTAAATAATTTCTAACTCTACTTTAAGCCTAGAAAGTAGTTAGTTGACTATTCTCAAGGTCATTTTGGTATTACGCAAAGGTCATCATCATTTCACTAGTAATAGTACATTTTCTTGACAAAACATGGATTAGAATAAAGTATGTTCCATGTAGGATTGTGTTGGTCGATTCTTTGCTAATCACTGCTAGCGGATAGTTGAAGGAAACTACAGAATCTTCTAGTAAATTAGCATTATTCTTACTGTAATGTACTTGTATTCAACCTGATTTATTTAGACGATGATAATTTACCTATTGACAATAACTGAGTGAAATAGAAGGTTACAAATATATATAACATCTGACTTATCTAGGTTAGTTTGTTTCCTACTGATCACTAACAAGTGGAGTGAGTCATATTGGTAGGTGTCGACTACCTGGTTGGGGCCCACGAGACCCCGAATGACATGGTTCAAAGCCGTTTACAACAGTGCAAGTGCATTCATTTTTTGTGTTATCTCCAATCCCGAGCTTCTGAATTCTTTATCATCTCTATCTTTTTCTTTCTAAGTTTATTTCACTAAATTATACTTCTTGAATAATATCCTTGTTAGGATATTCATCCAATATCCTAAGAGAATTATCGGTCAATTTCATGGTCGTCCTAGATCAATGTCACGTGCTCCAATGTTGTTTCTTATTGGTCGTCCTGACTGTAAATGCCGCTCAAATTTTGTTTCCTATTGATCGACGTAACTGTCAATGTCACAGACTTCAATGTTGTTTCCTATTCAACCTAACTGTATAAATACAAATTATATGTAACTTCTTATGACCAGGACTCGGTCCCGGATCCTGATTCCCTTCTGGATTCGGACCTCGTACTTTCTGGATGCTTGTAGAATACAGGTTCTACTTCATATCAAGTCTTGTCTTCTTTTATTCAATATGGGGGTTGGGATAATCGGATTTGAGTAGTATGTCGTGTCGCCGGATCTTCGCTATCGTTTTCCGACTAGGTAAACTCGAAACAGTTTAAGGGTATCAAGTTGACATGTTTACGTGGAGGCGTATCAATCCTTGAGCCCTAAAATTTCCGATTACCTCTAATCCTCTTACTACCTCTGCTACTATGGCATTTGAAGTGCCAGTTGCGTCTCTGTGTGCAGATGTGGTATGACAACCTGAACTGATGTACGTATGCATGAAGTTCCACATTGTTACTGACTGACTAATCACTAGTAAGTACTATCTCACACTAGATGTATGTGGTTAATTTCAATTAGAAAGAATGGCTCATTCAAAACATACATAAATTTAATTTCACGATAAACGTTCCACAAGCGGAACATACAAGCACTTTTCTGACCTTAATCAGTGATGAATTATGTATTGGCATTCGAAGCAGTAGTCAACTGGTTCGAGCTTCATTGTATCATTATCAATATTAGAATGTCGGTACATTCTCGTTGATGTGTTATACATTAAAAACGCTTAACTTTGGCTATTTGGATATATAATAAAAATTCAGTCAGAAAACAAAAGTGAAACATACTGACATATTGCATAATACTACGTCAGTATTTTTATTCGTTTAAGCACAAACATCGGTAAAAAAAAGTGTAGTAAACTATCTTTGCACCGCACAAGTTGTTGAATTCGTATGTAGGCTGGAAAACTTTACGGTTGCCCATAAGGAGGTTTTCTTAAGCGGCTATAACCCCAAGCTTTCAACTCCAAAGTCTAGTCTACTTTCGTGAACAACACTTGTACCAAAAGAAGGGAGACAAGTTTTCTTAAAAGGCTAAAACCCCAAGCATACAACTCAAAAGTCTAGTCTAATTTTGTTGGGGATGTTAGATCCCCAATACTCGCTTGATAAATGCTTTATTTTGGATTTCACATTTGCGAGCATGGGCCGATCGGGTGACCTTGAGATTTCATTTCCCACCAGGGAAATCCATGGCTGTGATTGGCTGCTGTGTATTTTAGTGTGCTATTTTCTTAACTGTCTCAAGGACGTTTCTATAAACAAACGAGAGTTGTGTGCTTGATTGTATTGTGCTTGCTGGGTGTTGTAGAATATACTTTCTACGCTACATCAAGACTTCAGTTTTGCAGTTTGGGATTCAAGGTAGCCTACCTGGACGCTGGTTCATTGTCTCGTTCGCGTTTATCGACTAAGGTGTATTCGTAATAGCTTCAAGTGTACCTAGTGACGAACTTATCAAATTTCGTGAACAACACTTGTGCTACAAGAAGGCAGACAGTGAGTAGGATCTCCCTGACAGCGGCTATATAGGAGTGATTGTTTTCGAAAAGGAAAGTGACTTCTCTCTAATTTTCAATCGTACTAGGGCATTTGGAGGCTTACTACCACTACTACTAAAGATTAATCTGACCAACACTCATTTTTGTTATGACTAATTCGTTAGTTTAAATGAAAATGAAAAACAGTGAAAGAAAATAGTTTCACAGCTTGAAATTAATCATAATATGTTATCAATAAATCATTACTAGTTTTTAGACACACATACACCAACAAAAATACCATAATTATTTACGTAACTTGGCAGACAATTCATTTATTTCTTGTTACAATCATTCATAAGAAGAAATTAGGTGAAATCATAGACAAAACTAATTTCATTACGAGGTTGTGAAGATTGTTAAGTTTGAAATCATGAATCAATCATTGTTAGACCACTATTAGAAATCTGGAAGCACTGGACAGCCGTTTCATCTTGGTATGAGACTTCTCACCAGTGACAGTGCGCATCCACGACACCTGCACGACCTTCGGTCTTGCGCGCGAACGCCTAACCTCTGAACCACTGAGCCGTTTTCTAACGGTGTTAATATCTAACTTACATCAATTCACTGCCTTGCGCAACCTCATCATACAGTGTCTTTAGTAGTTACTGTCTACACCCGAACAGGTTGAACTTCACTGGTTACTTCTCACTAGAACTCGGAGAAGATTCCTAACGGAGCCAGTCACCAGTGAGCACAGGTAACAGCATTACGGGGTTGTGAAGATTTTTAAGTTACACATTTGAAATCACGAATCGAACTAATCTCATAACAACATGCATGTATACCACCTCACTGACTGTTGATTACAATCAACACCCAAAATATACAAACCAATCGCTAACAATTATTAGACTTGTCGCGATTTTTATACGACATATTAAGGAGGAAGCTTATAAAGGACAACATAATCAACTGAGAAACGGTTTCGTTCAAGTGCTTATCATTATTTTTAAGCTACAATTTCTACGCTCTTTTTGTGCATTACTTTTTATACTACTTATGATAAATAAGTAGTTTGTGTCATATTAGTAAACAGTTGGATATTGTTCATTCATCTGTTATTTGATCAAAACACATTAGCACAAAGAAGCATACAAACATTTATGCGTCATACAAATCACTAAATTTGTGTGTCAGCTAGTTGTGATACATCCAGGGTGTTAAAATCAAAACATTTGATTTTATTAAGAGTGCGACACTCGCCAATGCATAAGGCAATGGAGCAACGTCACGAGATGTACTCACATGATACACAGTCACGAACAATATAGTTATTTTATACGCCATCATTCATTTCTCATTAGGATCATCAAACTCATTTCATACCATTGGTTTGAATTCAAAGTTTTCCAAATATTCTAGATGGAGGATATCTTTCATATCTATCAAACTGGATTTAAGCACAAGACAGATATTCAAACTTCGTCCAGTCAATTGACAGACAGATAAAACGCAGAACTTCGTACGTACATAGTACATCGGTTCAGGTTGTCATACCACACCAGCACAGAGATGCAACTGTCAGTTCGAATCCAGGAGTGATAGCGATAATAGAAGTATTAGCAGTAATGGAAAAGGTTAGGGAGCGAAGATGTGATTCGAGAAGTATAATTCAGTGAGATAAATTTAGA